ATACAAGAGACATTTAGATGGAAATACCAACAGGTCTTTGTTATTTTCTGGATATAGAGAGTGGTGAAGAAAGTAGAATCTCTGTTTCATGGTTTCTCACCTGAAAGACTGAGAGAATTTTGGTCTCCCTGATAGAAATGGAGTAATCACAAAGTTTTAGGAGTGATGAGTTAATATTTTTTAACATTTTATTTTGAAATAATTGCTGACTTACAAAAAAGTCACAAAAGTAGTTCATAGAGTTTTCATACACCCTTCACCCAGCTTTCCCACATGTTAACATTTTACACAACCATAGTTTATATTTAAAAATCCTTAATTTATGAACCAATCTATAGACAAAATATTACTAGTTTCACATATAATCAATATAAAAATTATTAATAAGATATTTTATATTTTTTGTGGAGGAGATAAAGTCTTAGAAATCTGGTGTGTATTTCACACTGCCAGCCCATCTCAATTTGCAGCAGCCACATTTCAAGTGTTTAAATAGGCACATGTAGCTAATAAGCACAGCATTCCTAGACCATCCACAATCTACTCCCAACCTTTCTTTTCAACATTACCTCCTGCTGTACTGCCAAGAAAGCTCTCTGCCCTAGCCAGTTTGTTCTGGGCCAGGATGGCAAAAGGTTGACCTCATGTTCTTATTACCTCCCTCCCACAATCATAATAGACATGAATAATCATTCATATGACACTTACCTGCTGAGTCTCCGAATACTTCCCAATATGATGCCCCAGACAACACCAAAAAATGACTAGAGTTGGCACTTAAAATGAAACCCTTTTTCCACCCATTACCTAGTCACTGTCCCCAGCAACATCTAGCTCATTCCTACCTCTAAATTTGCTCCTGCAACTTAGCCAATCTAACAAATTCCTATTTGCCTTGAGAGCCAAACTCAAGTCTCCATTCATACAGTCCTCTTCAGCTCATATTGAACGTTTTTTTAAATAGACGAGTCTCACTCTGTCACCAGGCTGGAGTGCAGTGGCACAATTTTGGCTCACTGCAACCTCCGCCTCCCAGGTTCAAGTGATTCTCCTGCCTCAGCCTCCTGAGTAACTGGGATTACAGGTGTGTGCCACCACACCTGGCTAATTTTTGTATTTTTAGTAGAGACGGGTTTTCACCATGTTGGTCAGGCTGGTCTCAATTGCTACTCATGCGTTGGTCAGCGCTGCGTCTCAAACCTCCGCGACCGGTCGTTTATCTGCCCCCGCCTCAGTGCGCTCTAAAGTGCTGGGGATTACAGGTGTTGAGCACCGGCACCCGGCCTGTATTGAGCATTCTTTTCTTTCTAATGTTCTTTCTTGCGTTTCCATCTGCACATATTGCCCTTAGTGGTTTATTTGCTTCTGCAAATCGTTTCATTCTAGCTTCTTGCTCTTCCCAAACTCTTTGAAGATAGCGATACGTCGTTTATTCTCATTTTTTTTTTTTTTTTTTTTTGACGGAGAAGGGTTCACTTCGTTGGTCCAGGCTGAATTGCAGAGGTGCCAATAATGGCACTCACAGCAGCTTGAAGTTCCTGAGCCTCTCAGTTGATTCTTCCCACCTCAGCTAGGCTTGCGGAACTACAGCGCACGCACCCCGACACCCAGCTTATTATTTATTTTATTATTATTATTATTATTGCGAGCACGGGGGTCTCTCTTTTTTTGCACAGGCTGGGTTGGAACTCCTTGGCCTCAAGCCAATTCTCCCACCTCGCTCCCAAAGTGGCTGCGGATTATTAGGTGTGAGACCACTGCACTGGCCCGTTATATCATTTTTTCATGGCTCACATGGATTGTGGGTTTGAGGAAGAATGCTGTGCATTAAGTAGATGTTCATTGACTAAACTTGGCGTTGGTTGGATAGAATGTTGCTTTACCCAACACATGTTTTTATGTCTTTCTATCAATTAACGTTTAAGCTAAATCTATTTTTCGTATCAACTTACTGCTCCAAAATAAAATGGTCATCATGGACTGATATCATGGAATAGGCAGAATTATCTTAAATGGTCCTCGCAAATGGTTGGACTTAATATAATCTTTTTTTTTTTTTTATTTTTTGAGATGGAAGGCTCACATGGTCGCCTAGGTGAATGCAGTTGGACGCGATTCTCAGCTCACTACAACCTTCTGCTGGCCCAGGTTCAAGGTGATTCTCCTGCTCGCCTCCAAAGTAGCTGGGGATCG